CCCCAAAACCCCAAAACCCCAAAACCCCATCCTCTAAATTTTAAGGTTCTATTGATAAAAATTTAATTCAAATAAATTCTAGGTGAATTAATAGCGTTTGATTAATCATTGAAATTATTTAAGATACTTAGATAAGCCAAAAGCTTCATTGAATCTCATTACAAAAATTCCAAATCATCAATTTCATCTTCATTCTGTACGTATTTGTAAACTCTGACGTAGTCAATAGTGTAGAGTGCAGGGAAATTGGTAGTTTCATCTGGGTTTCCTGGCCAATTTCCACCAATAGCAAGGTTCAAAATAATGAAGAAGCTATTTCTATCATAGGGCCAATCTCCTTGAGTAGTGCTCTTATCAACAGAGAAATAAGTGTTTCCATCTATATAAAAGTCCACTTTACTAGGGTACCATTCGATTCCAAAGGTGTGATAGTCATCAGCAAAGCCTTATTAGCTTGTGTACTCTTTAGTGGTGTCTAAGCCTTTAGCATGTAGTGATCCATGAGCAACGCTGGGTTACTTTCCTATCATCTCAAAGACATCAATATCACCACAAGTTGGCCATCCAACTTGATTGAGATTATCACCTAGCATCCAGAATGCTGGCCATACACCTTAGCCCGTAGGTAGTTTTGCCCTTATTTCGAATTTTCCAAATTTCTAGGAGAATTTGCCTAGTGAGTTGATTCTAGCTGAAGTGTATTGGCTTCCATTGTAGTCTTCTTTTAAACCTTAGATGTGAAGGAATCCTCCTTTGACGTAGGAATTTTCGGCTCTGTCTGTGTAGTACTCAAGTTCCTCGTTACCCCAACCATTTCCACCGATGTCATGATTCCATTTGCTGCTATCGATTGAAGTGCCATTAAATTCGTCATTCCAAACAAGCTGCCAGTTTGCTAAGATCAGAGCTGGTAGTGAGATAGCACCAATGAAAAGTGACTTTACAAAAGTTGAAATCATTACTTTGCTATTAAATATTAATGTTTAATTATTATAATCCTATAATAATATTTGTAAAAATATCTTATAAACTTCGACTCTAAAAAATCCTATCTCAATTTTTCTTATTTTTCCTATCATGGGGTTTTGGGGTTTTGGGG